ATTATAATATATATAATATTGTTTATTGTTTTATATATATATATATATATATATATATATATATATAACATATATAATTACAAATGTATACATCTTTAGGCATTAAAAGCTTTCTCATCGCGACAAAATAAATAGAAATCGAGAAAGAGAAATTGTATTAGAAATTGTCACCCAGGAAAGGGCAAATGCCATTCTTGTCTCCTCCTCTAGACTCCCAGGATTTTTACATATCTTTTAGACGTATTATGCCGTCAATTTTAAAACTTAAATGCGCGTTCTTAAATTCACACAAAAAAGTGTCACAATTATTTCTGTCTACCAATATAGCTCTAGTTTACACCGAGCACTTTTGATGCGCATATATGTAATACTGAATTTGTTGTATTACATGCTCCAATATGCTTCAATATGCTCCTAGCATAGCTCCTACTCATTCCAATTCGCTCATTGGAGTAGGAGTTATGGTAGGAACATGAAGCATGTTGAAACATGTGACACGAGCAAACCTACATTACTACAGATGCTTTCCATTTGGTGGCACAAGTCGACACGAGCATCTATATTCTATCTTTCTTAATATTCAATGAACAACAAAGATACACACTTGTGTTACTAAATGGAAAGCACTCTATATATTGTCACTCAGAGCGGTCGAAAACATCATAGTTCAGATTATCAACCTCTCATCTTCAAAAATCTACTTTTGCAAATGTGGATGCGCACGTTTCTATTTAATTTTATTATAATAATATCTAGGACTCAAAGTTTTGATGTAAAATATTGAAAATCAAATGGCCATGTTTTGATATTTCAATTTATTGCGTATTGAAACATCTCTAATTAAAGCACTAAAAAGCTTTGATCAAAACTAGGATTTCTCTTATTTAATTGGATTTATGCTTTTATTAAGTGCTATTTAATATAAGTATTTGGCGTAAAAAAAATGCTATCGAAAAAATCACACAAAGAAAAGTCCTTTACTCTAAAGCAAGTTGATGTTTCTTTAAACAGATGATATATTCCCGATATATCATTTCCTCGCTGAACATTTTATATTCTGTAATTGTACAATGTCTGATTTGGTTGACTTCATCGCCGGTAGGTACATTTGATATTACATTTTCAACCTGTTGACTGTAATACCACGATATTTTATGAAAATGTGTCGTGAACGTTTTATTCTTCCACACTTACCCAATAAGTTGAAATAAGCTGCATGCGTGTGAGGTACATGTTATATGCATGGTATCAACAGCTACCATAATGGTTATACCCATCGTGATCATAATAGAAGTGTACAAAAAAATCGGTACAAAATATTTATCTTGATCTATTCCGTATTCGCTATATATTGCGATATTTCGCAGGCGCGATTTATTAAGAGGTAGTACGACATCGAGAAGCATCGGTCCTAATGACGGTATCGTTATAAACATCGACATCATGGTGTACATTAATACTGCAAATTTGTGAAATATGCATTGTCCTTTTAATAATATTCTTCTGCACTAAAATCGGCGTTTGTTATTATTCTGTTTTTCCTCCAATATAATCTACTTACTCGAATAAGATATTGTAAATTTCTGCGATATATGAGAGTAACTTTTTAAAATTCGAACTTCCAAATCGTTTGTAAATATATTCCAATGATTTTCCATGATTTCATATAAACGACAAAACTATTTGTAAAAAACATTTTAAAGAGCCAGATGATATATTATAATTATCCATTTCGAAGATCCA